AGCTGAGATCAAGAGTCAGACGCTTAACTGAATGAGCCACCCAGGCAACCCCTAGATTTCACCAGTTCTTAAACACACACATTTTTTTGGGGGGGGAAGTGTATAGTTCTATGACATTTTATCACATGTAGAGATTCGTACAATCCCCAACACAATCAGGATACAGAATTGTTCTGCCAACCGCAAAGAAAGTGTCCTGTGTGCTACCTCTCCTAAGTCTGGCAACCACACATATGTTCTCCATCAGAGTAATTTTGTCACTTGAAAAATTTTATGTTCCATTTACTTTTCGTTCTCTCAAGTTGCAAAAAAAAAAAATATTTTGCAACTCTGAGAATGACATGATTTGATATAATTAGCCAACTGGTGAAAAGGACTGGTCTGCATGGCACCCTAATGATTTCAAAGACTTGCTACTCTCCTTGGCCCTGGAAAGGATGGGTGGGCACAGATACGGTTTCAAGCACGTAACTACACAAGTGTAGACGCACAGTAACTCACAAGTAAGCAAGATTTAAAGAACAGATGGCCCCATTCACTGAATGAGAAGGGATTACAATCCTAACACCTTTACGCCCACAAACAAGACAGTAAGTTTTGATATACACAACATGAGATGTCTGGTGCAGAGTGTGTTATAAATCACCAAGTGCACACTCAGCTGACATGTCCTATGTAGGGGAAGGATTCTGTCTCACACATCGCTATACCTGCCTTAGTACCTAAAAGAGTGCCTGGCAGATAGTCTTATATGAATATTTTTGGGATGGATAGATGGTTTTCCTCTGATGGTATTTAGTTTTACCATTATTTAAATACCACTGTTACCAGTGGTGTTTCCATATTAATTATATTATTGAATTTGAAACTGCTTGTTGACAAGAAATATTCCATTAATTCGCCAAGATCGATGCATCATTAAAAATAGTAGAGCTAAGAGACTTCAACAAGGAAATAAAAGAACTGCTCTTTTGGAGGCATATCAATGGTTTGAGACAAAAAAGGATCATCTTGGAAATTCCTAATGCAAAGCAACTAAGTAATTAGTATTCTAGTGGCCTTACCCACAACACATCAATGATTCTCTAGCTGGCAATTAGCTCTCTACTGACTGATAGAAACCAGCCTCATATCTTCAATTATTATAAAAATGGCCGGAGGATGAAGACAGGAAGGCTGAGACAATATTGGTGTGGGGGACAGGAAGAAAAATGGACGGGATCCAGAATTTTAGTCAGTATCTTGGCATGGCCTTGGAGGTATCTGATGGGGTTAACAAGCCATGTTTTGGAAGCTGGTTTATATCTCATTCTACAGATAAACCAGCTCATCACACTATAAATGCAAAATCAGTTGGCTAGTCAGTAGAGATGCAGTTTTCTGATTTACCAACCACATGACTTGAAAAACTTGAATGTACATTCTGAAACCCACAAGACCATCATTTATTTAACTACCGTCTATAAAAATCAATTCAGAGAAATCAGAGAACTTCTAATTTACATTGGCAAGCTGGCTCAGAAATATGCTACCCAATAAACTATTTCTACTCACTTAATACAATTCACAGAGGTCAAATGGAGGGTGGCTAATTCTTGTACATAAGGTACTGTCATGTCCCCGCAGTAAAGAGAAATCATGGCTTTCTGATTCTCAAAGTACTAAACGGGCTACTCGTTGCCACTCCACTTTTAAACACAAATGTGTATTTGCACAGGAGAATTTAAAGTATCATCACATGAAGTGGGAAATTATCTATCACACTGCACATGATGGGGCAAAGACAGAATCAGGGTACTGATTCCACAACCAAAAAAGGCACGTAAAAGAACTTACTGACTGCCCTAAAAATACTGCCCACGGGGTGTCTCTGTGAACCAAGGGCACTACTAAAACACTAGCTGAGTATCTAAAGCATTCATACTTGCAAGAGTACTTTTCCTTCTTTATCTTTCTTTTGCTCCTTTTCTCTTTTTTTATAAAGGTTTATTTATTTTTGAGAGAGGACCCGCGAGCTGGGGAGAGGCATG